TCTCCAAACCAGAGAAACAAGGCATTCCCTTGATTTGAAATGAATAAACCAAATATCAAAACAAAATACGAGGGTCGGAGAGTACCTGGTGACAATGAACTAGCCGGAGCGATTGTCGGTACCAGAGAGGGAGTTGGAAGAGGGGGAAAAAGTTTCTCTGGTTTGAAATGAAAAACAAAATATCAAACAAGAGTTTCTCTGATTTGAAATGAAAAAACCAAATATCAAAACAAAATAGGAGGGTTGGAGTGTACATGGTAATGATGAACTGCCCGGAGTGATCGCCATTGCCAGAAATGGAGTTGGATCCGAGCTCGGGCAGAGGGGAGTAGAATGGGGTCAGACATGATTTCAGACAAGGTTTTCGAACCGCTGTTGACACAGACAATCGGACCGTTCGGCCTGGGAACCGTCTAGGCAATCGGTTTTATTAATTCGGGTAGTCAAACTGTCAATCCGTTCAATAGTTTTAACCATTTTTTATTTTTATTTTATTTTTTAAAATAACCCATCCATTTGAACCGAATGATTGCACCATCGACCTTGAAAACAATGGCCAAAACAATTCTATTTCCAGGTCATTTTTTAAAACGTTGATTTGAGATTAAAGGGGCAGGAATATGAGAAAAAAGAAATTTGAATTCATTTTGGGCTAACGGGACGACGTCACGCAGGAACGCCCCACTGCGTGCGACTGAACATGTGGCAGTCACACGTTATGTGGGGCGTTTGTGGGGCGGAGATACGAACTTGTATATAGACTTCTTGTTTTCATTTTCAATCTCTTTTCTTTGTAATAAATGTATCACTCTCACCATCTGCTATATACATTTTGTTCACTCCTCTCTTGATGCTGATGGTCCCTAGTTTCTCAACCTCATGTAGGGTGCAATAAAGTCGAGTCGATCCGAATTTTTGTATGTAGTGTCTCGGTTTGATTAAAATACTGTTGAGCTTCAATTTGAACTCGAGTTTGATTTAAATTATATTTCTTCGTTTGAATTCGGTTTGATTAAATATTTAATGAATTTTATAAAAATATATTTTATAAATATATAAAATATATATTTTATAATTCAATTTCAGTTCAAAAGCTTGAAAATTATTATATTTGTATTTTATAAATATATACTATATTCTTTTATCATATAGAAAATAAAAATATATTTTATAGTATATTATAAATAATTTTTTATATTTTATAATATATGATAAATAAACTAGACTCACAAGTTTCTGAGTCAAATTTTTTATTGGCTGAGGTCGAATTCGAATAATTAATCGAACTTACCTCAACATTTAAATTCAAATTGAACCTAATGGAACTTGAGCCCAAACTATTATATTAGAGCGAGCTCGAGTTCGATTACCAAATACCCATTCCATAGTTTTTTTTGTTGATCATGACCTTTAGTTAAATGGTGTCATTGAACATTTGGAAGTGCAGGATCAAACCTTTGTGACTGTAGGCATCCCTTCGCTGAGATGCGCTGTGTGCTCTGTCTCCAAGGGTGAATTCAGTCATCAATTGTGTTAACACCATTCTTATATCACTTTTCAGCCATGCATTAGGGACGTCTTCATATTTATATTTTTATATTTATAAGAAGATATTCTCAAAACAGGGTTGGAAAATGATGAGAGGTGATTTAGCCCGACCTAATATGTAAGGGAAATGTGGACATGGCTTGCCAGCCAATTGACAATCAGCATATAGTGCCACGCCAGCAAATTGGGGGACCTTGGGTGCTCGGCCACTTCGAACCCAGATCATCTTGATACCCACTTGTTCCAAGGAGCCATAACCTAGGAGCTTGACAATCGTCTCCGAACTTATTGGGATCATGCAGCGTAACTATAGGCCTTATCCTTACCCCACCCGAATCGGAGGGAAACGATAAGCCTCATTAATTGGTGCGTTCCCTCCATCCAAAGCGGAATGGATCCCTAAGTCACGAGTCGAGGATTTTGGGAGCATTTCGCGAGACCTACAACAACCCAACTATATAAGGGCATCAACCCCCAAGACTCAGGTACGTACGATTACTTGCTCATTAGCATTCTAGCGTTCAAACTTTCAGCTCGCAACCAGAATACAATACTGACTTAAGCATCGGAGCGATATCGCCGGGTTAGCCACCTTGGGTTCTCTTATCCTTTGTCTTGTAGCTTGGTCCAGCTCGCTACATGATTAGTGTCTAGGTGGTCTTCCTGGTAGGAGCTTCCAGATCGTGCACTATCAGAAAAGACTAATGGTGTTAGCACAATTTTGTGGGTACCAAATCCGATTCTCCATGCTATAGGTCTTTTGTAATGTGTAGTATATAATAAAAAAATTATTTTTTCGTCTCTCGATTTTTTTTTTGTTTTATAAATTCACTCCATCACCCCCACTTGAATTTGTTATTTGTTATTACTTTTTATAACAAGGGAAAGTTACCTATTAGTACCCTGTTCTTTATGCCTAGTGCCACTTTGGTCCCCGAACTTTAAAATGTGACAATTCAGTACCCAAAGTTTCAAAATGTGACAATCCAGTATCAGCCAATAATCAACAGTTAACTTGTTGTTGGGATTACATTTTAATGGGCATTTTGGTGACCCCAACTTTCTTGAATAGAAGAGGAAAAGATTTGGGACTATTAATTTTTTGTCAATGTTTGAATAATTGATAAAGAAAATTAGATGACACTCGAAGGGAATTTATGTATTTTTAAAATGTCACTTAACAGTTGATTAACAACTAGTTAATGACAGTTAACAAATTGTCACATTTTGAAAGTTTGGTTATTTGAGTTAGGGTTGTTCATAAGAATGCCCAACCCGACCAAACCGATTAACTTGGACCGACCCAACCCGAGTCGGTCGGGTTTTCATCCGTATCGGTCGGTTTCGGGTTGGGCACATACATAAACCAAAATCTCGGGTCGGTTTCGGTTTTCTTGCGTGAAAACCGAAACCAACCCTACCCGAACCGAACTACTATTCTACTAGTTTGGTAGTTCCTACTTCCTAGTTTGAATAGTTTCCTAATTCCTAATAGTCTTCTACTTTTAGACTTCTACTAGAACTAGAACTCTAGAAGGCCCATTAGGCAATTACAATTAGAATTCAATTAGG